AGAGCCGTCGCCAACACTTTTAACTTCTGGTGCATCGTCCTGTTCAACATCCTGGCACTGAACAGTTTGGACTTTGCCAAATTAGTCGCCAAACGTCTGCTTCTCAAAGGTGATTTCTTTTCTTTGAAGGTTTCATTTAACCACCAGCTCTTTCAATAATGAATCTATGTGTCTCCTCTCCTTCCAGGTTTCCCCATAACCACCATCATTGTCATGTTCATGACTTACTGCCTGATTCAAGTGATTAAGGAGCGAGAAAGGAGGCAGGCCCTCATAGATGATCCTGATCCTCTTCCTCCGGCCCCAGCTCCCAACGCCACCGCCTCCACCAGCCCGACCAGTGCTGCAGCCGAACCTGCCTCTGCTCAGCCCGTCACAGATCCCAGCAAGGAAAAAGCAGAGTAGATATTTGATGGTCATCAGATAATAAAGGATGTAGCAGCCAACAGTATTAATAAAGTTTAGTGTCAAACAGCTTTAACTGTAAATATATATTGAACATCATTTTACTGTATTTGTAACAAAAAGTGATAAAACGTAATATTGATGAAAGACAATCACATTTGATATCTTTTCATCTTAAACTGGTCAACGACATCGTAGAGAAATTAAAACTTTTTCTGAAAAAAAGCTGCATTAAGTGTTAATACACAAAAATAAACTTTGATTTGTCATGTTTTGTGCCTTCTCTGACCTTTCCACTGAATCTGTTTATGTGACACTGAGGAGCTTTTTACACCATCTGAGTCAGTGTCGTGTCTCGTGGTCGTAGGTGTGAGGTATTTCTGCAGGATTACATCAGCAGTTTGTTTTGCGCCTCCACGCTGGAAACAGATTTAAAGAGCGTCCAGTGGAGCAGCTGTGGTCAGAAGACATTCAGTGCCATGACAAGAGCAGAGATTCTGTTTTTACCCTGATTTCAGGGCTCCACATGGGTTTCTATCAGTCAGATAGGGTGGCGTTGCTTTCACCAGAGCACTGTAGAGATTTTACACCTGAAGATCAGTTTGTTTGTCGTGAGGAGTGCATGAACACTGCAGGTGTATTAAGTCTTCTGTGGCTCTAGAGGACCTTTCCGCAGTCTGAGGGAATAACCTTGATGATGTCATTGGGATTATTTTAGCTCAAGAGTCCAAAGTGCTCAGAGAATGAGTCAAGTTGTATCATGGAAGGTGTTTATGCAGTTTGACCACTTCTGTCCTACGAAGTAAAAACAGAGTAGCTACATATTTTGTTTGTTTCAGCAATGAAATATTATCACTTCAAAACAGCGAAGGGAGCGAAGAACACAAACCCAACGCTTTCGCCTCAAAGGGTTCAGTGTGTGGGATTTAGTGGCATCTAGTGGTAGAATTGCATATTGCAGCCCACCTCTCCCTCCCTGTTTCATTGTCAGCTGTCTGAGTGTGGGTGGATGGTACTGGGGTCGAGGATGGGACAGGGAGGCTGAAGCATGGATTTTGCGTTTCATGTTCCAAAATGAAGCTCATAGCTCCACAGCGAGCACCCAGTCTATAAATAACCGACCAGTTGGAGCTCGGTTGAAGGGTCTGGACAGCTGAGGAAGTGGGCTGCCCCCAGGTTCAGCTGGTGTGAGCTAATAGTAGACTGACTGTGCCTCTCACTCCTCTTTCCAGGCTAGAAACCAGACGTACAAGAAGCTGCTCTTTTTGTTTGTTCGCAGCCCCTGAAAGGCTCTTCGCGCTCACCTGCCTGTAAAGATGGCTTTACCCATGAACCCCATGGACGAGCCCAGGGTGTACCAGCAGACGCTGCTCCAGGACGGCCTGTTCGACCTGCTGGAGAATGACAAGCTGGTCGACTGTGTGCTGAAGATTAAAGACAAGGAGTTCCCCTGCCACCGGCTGGTCCTGTGCGCCTGCAGCTCATACTTCCGCTCCATCTTCCTGTCCGACCTGGACGAGAGCAAAAAGAGAGAGATCGTCCTGGAGGATGTGGAGCCTGGTGTCATGGGGCTGATCCTCAAGTACCTGTACACCTCTAAAATCAACGTGACAGAGCAAAACGTCCAGGACATCTTCGCCGTGGCCAACATGTATCAGATCCCCTCAATTTTCACTGTGTGTGTCTCTTTCCTACAAAAGCGCTTGAGTCTCAGCAACTGTCTGGCGATCTTCAGACTCGGCCTGATGCTAGAGTGCCCGAGGTTGGCGGTCTCTGCCCGGAACTACGCCTGTGAGCGATTCCAGCTCATCTCCAGAGACGAGGACTTCCTCCAGCTGCTCCCCAGTGAGCTGGCAGCCATTTTAGCAAACGACAACCTGAACGTAGAGACAGAAGAGGCCGTGTTTGAGACTTTGATGAACTGGGTGTCCCGGGACATCGAGAACAGAGAGAAAGAACTGCCAGGTTTGCTGGACTGCGTTCGTTTGCGTCTGGTCAACAAGGATTACTTGGAAGAAAAAGTGGCGAAGCACACGCTGATCTCTTCAAATGCTGAACTGCAGGAGAAGCTGCAGTTGGTTAAGGATGCTCATGCTGGGAAAATGCCAGAGATTAAAAAAAGCAAGAAGGAAAGTGGTGAAGCAGAGAAAGATGGAGAGGGGGAGGATAAAGAGGAGGAGGAAGGTCTTCTCCCTGGCATCCTGAATGATAACCTGAGGTTTGGCATGTTTGTCAGGAACTTGATCTTGATGGTGAATGACTCGGGGGCTGTGGCCTACGATCCGTCAGGGAACGACTGCTTCGTAGCATCAATCTCCACACAGATCCCCAAGAACCACACCAGCCTGGTCACCAGGGAGAACCAGGTGTTTGTGGCGGGAGGATTATTCCTGGACGAGCAGAACAAGGAAGATCCACTGTGCTCCTACTTCCTGCAGGTACGAGAAATAAAGATTTGACTGAAGAGAAGTTGCAGTAAAATAAACTATTCTCTTGATATTTTATAAATAATAAAATAAATAGATTGATGAAGTAATAAGGAATGACGTTTTACTCTCATTGTTAAAAATTTAAAGTACGATGCAACAAAAAAGCTTGCATTAAAAACCTCATGACACCCAGTTAGCAATAATTTATAACAAGTTTGCACATGCACAATTTCTAGATGCATGTGTTTATAAGCCATACTCAAATGTTTGCCCCCTGTGACCTCAGTACGACCCGGTGAGTGCTGATTGGCTGGGGATGCCTCCTCTCCCATCTCCCCGCTTCCTGTTCGGACTGGCTGAGGCAGAGAACTGCATCTTTGTGTTGGGAGGGAGGGAGCTGAAGGAGCAGGAGCACACGCTGGCCTCAGTTCTGGTCTACGACAGACTGTGAGTGCGAGTTATAAAACAAACCTCGATGAATTTAGTGAATCCTTAATACAGTATTTCCCTTTTACATTCACAGATCTTTTAAATGGGGTGAATCTGAGCCAATCCCGTACCCAGTTTATGGACATGCTACGATATCCCACAATGATGTTGTCTATGTGATCGGAGGAAAGGGGGACGACAAGTGAGGCTTTTATGAATGATCTCACTACATTTTTCCCTGAAATAAAAGTCACGTAAAAGACAAACCTCAGTTCTCTCTCTCATGAACAGGAGCTGCCTAAAGAAAATAAGTGCATATGATGCCAAGAGATTTGAATGGAAGGAGCTGCCACCGATGAAGACCCCACGCTCCTTATTCGGAGCCACCGTTCATAACAACAAAATCTTTGTGGCAGCAGGAGTCACAGACGATGGCCTGACAGACACTGTGGAGGTGTATGACATCGCCACCAACAAGTAAGCTCACGCAAAACACGTCAACATGGCTGACGAAGATGAACGTGTATGTCTCATATAGCAGCTTATTCATACTCATGAAGTCACGTCTGGTAAAAACGTGTAGGATTGTCTTTTCAGTTTGTGCCTGTTACAAAGATTAACAAAGCAAAATATAGAAATGTAAAGTAAGCAACCATTATTAAAAATATAAAATATAAGCAAAAGTAAAAACAAGTCAAGTTAATGAGTGTGCAAAGAGCAAACAGTGGCAATAGAGAAATGGTATAGACAAGTATGTTAAATTATATAAATAATCTGAATACTGCACAGTTTATTTAAATGGTATGATAAACATTATTGCATTGTTTTAAGGTGACACGGTGGATGTGAGAAATAAATATTGTACATGATTGATGTGATAATATTACACAGTGGAGACTTGGCAGAGTTTTGGAATTTGAACATTCAAAAAAAGGGAAAGTCACACTAAAGATATTGAACTTTTTTATTTCCCTGTTCTTTCACTGTTACTGATCCTATTTCCCCAACTTGGATTCTTATACAATACCTCTGGTTTCCATTTTCCAGGTGGTCAGACTTCGTACCGTTTCCCCAGGAACGCAGCTCTCTGAACCTGGTGTCTTTGGCCGGGTCGCTGTACGCTGTGGGCGGTTTTGCGATGATGCCTTTGGAGGACAGCGAGGATATCATTCCCAAAGAGATGAACGACATCTGGAGGTGGGTCACAGTCATAGAAACAATTATTTTAATCTGGACATTCATGCATAGGATTATACTTGAAATATATATACTTCAAATATAATATTTCCACAACTAAAATTAAAAAGAATCCCGGCTATACCTTTCAATCTGTAACATCAACCTGCCTGTTAAAATCAAACTAATGTTAGATATCATTCTTATAGAAAGAGATTGTGGTTTGCAGTGCTCAGGGTATTTTTACACAACAAAATACAATCCCACAGTAAAAACTTCTCTCCCAATTCTGCATTTTATGACAAATGAATTCCTGTCAACCTTGTCAGGTACAATGAGTCGGAGAAAAAGTGGACTGGGGTCCTCAGAGAAATCCAATACGCTTCGGGGGCCACTGTCCTGGGGGTCCGCCTCAACACGCTGCGTCTCACCAAGATGTGAAACCGCCTCTGCTTCCTGTTTGACAGGAGAAATCAATGCTACAGTCCACAGCAGTTGCACAGTCCAAGGACAGGAAGAGTCACACCTACGGTCACAATGACATCTAACACGAGCAAGCATGTCATGAATCAGCTGGTGTGTTTGGTGTTTGTTTTATTTTATAAAACGCTGCTCAAGTTTGTGATTGTGGCCGATTCTTGTCATGGACAATGTTCTTTTTTAAATTTATAATTTTTTTTATGTGATTCAGCAATTGATTCAGTTTGTAAAATTGTAAACAATGTGTAGGTCTGCGGACATTTTCTTTGCACTGAGTGGAATAAAATTTACATATTTAACATCAACCAAAAACCGTCTCGATAAACATGGAAAATGTTTCAACGAGACGCTCCGCATTTACCAACAGATGGCAGCAAAGTCACAAGTGCTTTAAGAAACAATGACACTTTATCTGTGCAGAAACAAAAACACAGCACACGTCCACATTTGCAATAATATATCTATACTGTTTAATATTGAAATGATTTCATTACGCTCTGCTGTGTTACAGACGGTAGACACGAGTCAAGAATACAAGAAAAGACAGAAAATACAGTCTAATGTTATTAGCACCTCTAGACACTACTGTCCTTGTTCTGTTTTTAGTATTTTAATATATCTGAACTTGACGACTACTGCTTACACATGGTCTTTGTACACCAGAGTTAACTAAGACATAGTGTTTACATTATAAAGTGGAGAATCAGCAAATGACAGTACACATTAAGATGTCTTTAACACAACTGCAAAGTATGGGAAAACGTAGAGGGTATGTGGAGAATACATCTTTGAATTGTCTACTGCATTGTTGCCTACGGTCAGTATCATCATATATACCTTTTCCCAAAAGAGGGGTAACGTCACCATTGAAGAAATGTTTTAACCAAATGTTCACATGCAAAATAACCAACTACACGTGTTTATGTTCTTGTGTCAGCCCAACAACTGACAAAATATGGTCAAATATTTTCAGATGAGTCAAAAACACAACAAATAAATGATTTGATCAAATTGTTTCAATGGAGTGTAAAGAGAAATATAAAACTATACTTTAACTTTAATTGTCGATAAAAATAAATTCATCATAGACTATTTTACCCGTTATATTTCTCACAGTATTATGTGTTTTTTCCAGCTGTACTTTTTATACATGAGATGTGAATGTTTGTTTAAAGCAGTGACTGGTCCTGGGTTTGCATCTGTTTAAACTTAATCTTAACTAAAAGGATCAATGTGTAGAATTTACTGATATCTAGTGGTGGAGTTGCATATTGCAGCTGAATACCCCACATTCACAAATATGTAAGGTGTTAAGTTTGTCCAGTCTGGGCTCCTGTAAAAAAAAATGTCGGCCTCCATAGAGAAGACCTGCTCCGGATGCAAATATAAAGTATTTAAATATAAAGGGTAAAGAAAACAACAATTTGTACAGTTTAGATGAAATACACCAGTGAAAACATCACTGGGATTAGTTTATATTCAATTTCTGCCATTAGATCCCTTTCACCTAAATCTTACACACTGGACCTTTAACGCCAACTAATTAGCACTAGTCGTTAAACACACTGAACACATGTTTTGACAGCAAGCTACCAAGCTGAAGCTCGGTTTTGTCATTAAACTACACCAGCTACTACAGTTAAAGCTACTTAAAAGGTCAGACTTCATTCTGAAAAAGGCCCAGGATGCATTCACTCCATAAAATGTGGCCTCATGTGTCCTCGACCTCGTCCAAATGTGATGGGATCTAAAATCCTGTTTTTAGAGACGTCCACTTGCAAAGGACGTTAATACCAGGTCTGACCAGTCTCAGATTACTTTCTATCTAAAAACAAAAATAAAACTTGCAAATCTAACATAAATCATACAGAACATTTAAAATCCAAAGATACTGTTAAGATCCAAACTTTTAATCACCAAAATAGTTGAGGAGTATTTTTCTGTCAAATGACTAATTGACCATAATCTCTGCCGCTCTATTATACTCCATCTTCACAATTTAACTACTGTGTATAATTTATTACGATTCTTTTCCTATGATTTATTGATGTATTCATTATATTTTTGACTCATTTGATAAACATTGTCAGTTTTGGGGCTCCGTACATTTGCCCAAAATATGGTAAAACAAAAAACACAAGCAAACAAAAGTAAACCTATTCCACCATTTTTTTCAAAAGAGAAGGAAACTTTTCTTTTTCAAAAGAGTAACATATTTCCACAAATTCTTGCTTTATCTTAATCATTTTCAGAGTCACTCTCAAAATCCTGTTCCCATTTTCTTGGAAGCTGAAGGCCACAGAAGACATTTCTTTTGCACAAACGCTCTGGTTTAAAAATCCCTGCTGTTCTCAACGCTTCATTATGTTACGAACATTTTCATTGGGTGCAACACAGAATGCACAGTCAGTATGTTGCTGTAGGCAGTCACTCAATCATTGACAATCCCTTATTTAAGGACAAGAGGAAGTCCACCGTTGCCTCATCTAACACAAGCCTTTGGCTGCTAGGAGACTTTGGCTAATTAAAAGACATAAAACCTACCTGCCTCGAATCTAGGACTGCTAAACACTGTGCAAAATCTCCCTTATCACTAACTAGAATTACTGCAATTTAAACTTTAAGCACTGAATCAAAAAACACACAATTAATACTCGTGGGAATTTTCAGGATTTAGTTATTGCAAGGGTCCGCAAATGTGTTTCTATAAACCATTGCTTTACTGATGTCACAGGGTTTGTTTCTCTCCTTTGCATCTGAAATTTGGGAAGATTTAAGAAACTAAATAATCCAAGATGAAGGATTAACAAGCAAATGATGCTTTCTAGATTTAGAGTTTAAAGACAGGTCAGTCCCGAAACCTTCCCTTGATACAGTTTTTTACACTGTACATCTGAATCAAATTATATTTTTACCACATTTTTTACATACAAACCAATTTATTAGATGAATCTTGGCCTGTACAAAAATTTCCCTCCAAAATGATGTATATAACGCTGTTTGTTTGATTTATCAGACCAGCAGCTGATTAATACTGCATCATTTGGTTTGGAAGCACAATACTTAATAGGTTCTAGTATAACATTATTTCGATCAGGTACAGGCAGTTGGATGTGTTGTTTTAACAGGATCTGAACAAACAGGTTTTTTTCCCTTTGGTTGAAATGTTGTGTCAGAGAACTCAGCACCTGCCAGGAACACATTTTTGGCAGAAACTGCACTTTTGTAATTTCCTATAATCGTTTGCCATGGAAATATTACAAAACAAAATCAAACAAACAAAAAAATAAACATTACTACATCAGCTTTTTTAAAAATTCAAATAAGTGCTACTGCATCAGCCTTCAAACCGGACCAGCTGAACTGGATCATAAAGTGCTCATAATAATTATTGAATCTTTCCCATTTATCAATTTGGCAAATGACGACTATCTTCACACTTTCTCATTGGACAAAACATAACAGTCTCATATTGCTCCTTTAATCGGAGCAAACTGGTAAAATATCTCTCGAGTGTGGTTGTGATCAGGCAACAAACAAACCACAAACAGCTGTAGCTGTATTGAATGCATCCTTAGGGAGGAGTCAACTTAAAGAGGAGCACAGTGCAAAAACAGGCCGATACGCCAATTTAGTGGCACAGTGACACGGCTCAGTCGTCCTCAGTGTGCAGGATGTCCCACCACAGCAAATCATCCTCTAAGTTATTCAACGAGACAAAGCACAGGTCAGGTCGAGGCCTGCAACTTACTTACTGTGACGTCTGAAACAAATGATACAGAGAGAATCACTGATTTGTATACAATTTGTTAATAATTCATGAGAATCAAAATCCACCTGGTACATTTAAATGTAAAATGTATGCCTTTGGATTTAAACTTTTCCACCGTGACACATCTCTGCTTTCTTCTTTCCATCTTGAATCTGCATACATGTCCCCATAATGGGCAAGTGTGACAATCAAAAGTGCATAAATCAGTAGTCTGAACTACTATACCTACCTCCTTTACTGTCAGCTACACCCAGAACACATTCAAATCCCCCATAAGGCAAACACACCAGCTATAACCACAGTATTTCATTAGTGTCTCTCAGGCTAGTACTTCTCAAAACGGTAAAGTGGAAAAACACTTGGTAAGTGGCTTTTTAGCTATTTTCCATGACTCCAAAGGAACTAGCTTCTCAAATAAATGATAATGTACTTTGAGGAAGGCTTTTCTCTTTCTTTAGTGTAGGATTGCTAATTGAGTGCAGTTTACTGAGTTGCCACAAGAGAGCAACAGTCCTTATTGTTCAGGTTGCCTTCATCCCCCTCTGTGTCAACAACCCATCGTCTACATCAAACCTTAGTCGGGTATAAAGTGTTGACGTTTACCGCCTCCTCAACTGTATCTCATTTCCCACCCTGGAGCTCACCGTCCAGTAAGGCTTAATCAGATTTATCACAGCCAACAATTCAACAGCTCTCGACTTCTCATTTAAAAGGCAGTCTCACTGGACCCCGAAAAAAGCAGCAAAAAATACAAAACATGTGTTTAACACATGAAGAAAACATTTAAAACGTACCATCATCAAATATCATCTGACGTGGCCCTGTCCATATATCCATGGCAGTTTAGGGAATACATTTGACTGGGATGAGCGAAGACATAAGACTACTCTAAGGTGCTTAAATCTGTCTTTTAAATAAAACAAGTTAACGGCTTATGTACAAAAGATTAATCTGCAAATTCCAATTTCCGCTATAGTCACCAGCCAAGACACATGTGGGGGCACATTCAACTGACTCTCCAAATGTAAACATTAGGAATTAATCACAAGGAAGAAACACGTCTTAACAATATTTACAGGTTAATGCGACACTACGGGAAGGCTAGCTAGAGATAAAGTGAGCGGGTGTGCATCGATAGTGCACAGAGACTCTTTACGAAAGAAAACGTCAGATTTCAAAAAATAGTTTGACATTTTGGAAGCAACATCTATTTGCTTTCTTGTTGACAGTCAGATCCTAACACCAAAACAGGTGGAAAGAGTTAGCTTAGTTTAGCTCAAAGGTAACAACCACCACTTGAGGGTTAGGGCTAACAGGTACAGGTTATTAATTTATATCTGGATCATTTGTGGAGACGCAAGAAGTCACAGTACTCTGTATCGACAGAACCATGCTAGCTGTTTCCCCGTTTTCAGTCTTTATGTATCCAACCAGCTGCAGCTAGTTTAGCATTACATAAAGATTGGAAGCCAAAAACTGTCAATGGGAGACAAAACCCACCTGCTGATTACCTTCAGTTGTCTGTGGCTGTTTTTAAATTTTGAACAGAAATAACGAGCCCTTTCCAGTCTAAATGATACGCTAATCTAATATTCATATTCATATTCATTGTGTGGGAAATCGTAGGCTGTATATAAGGATGGACGACTTTCCAGCTCTCCAAAAATGAAGCCAAAGTGTCATGATTGCACTAAGTTTGGTTTTAATTAGTTATTTGATGCTATATCTGACTAAGGATTGGTTGACAGTGTGTATCAGCGGCTCCGTCCCCGGATCACTGCAGCACAGACTGGGACTCTAAATGTGCAAGATGGATATTTGGCTTCATTTTCTGAGATTAAAAGGAAGTGGAGATGCATCGTCAGTTTTTATTTACATTCAACGATATCGAACATAATTCCTCCGCAAGAAAGCAAATAAGTGCATTTCCTAAATTGCTGAACTATTCCTTCGAGACATTTTTGTGGACAAGGATGTGATTACATTTCCTTTACTTCTACTCCAGTCGATTTGTGACAATCACTTGTCAAGAGTGCACACTGAGCCACCATTTTTTGAGCGGTTGTCACACCACATATATTACACGTTCCTAACTTTGTTTCACTTCCGCAGGTCACTGCTGACTAGTCTGTACAGTAACAGTTAAGAGCCCTTTTAGTGATGAGCTCTGTTGTGCCAAAAGTAATCACTGTCAGTGCTCTTTAAGAGATTTAGGCATTGTAATATAATGTTTAACATTTCACAATATACATCATGATGAAATGTGCACACTTAATGAGCTACATAAGCAGAGTTTGTGAATATAATTATCCCTATAGGGTTGGTATTCTGCAAACTAATTACACAGATTGGGTTTAGTGGAGAAATGAGCTGAAAGTTAACATTAGAATTAGACCTACAGATACACTGTAGGCCAGAGTACATAAGGTTTTACTAACAAGTCACAGAAAAGTGCCGTATTGTCTCGGAGCCAGATCTGCAGGAGAGGAGCGAGCTTGCTTAATGTAAGCAACAAAACGAGTGAACAGATTACTCCATCTCCTGCTTTTAGGGAAGCTCAAGCTTTAACTAGGTGAATGTAGAATCTGAATATTCTAACCTCCCATCTCTGCTTCACATCTCTGCCCGTCACACACACACACACACACACACACACACACACACACACACACTGCATTGCACAGTCGACTCACCAAGCGTCGCCACTTCTCTTAAATCCTTATAAATTGACGTTAACGTGCCACAAATTACACACGATCACAATTATAAAAATTAGGACAAATAGGATTACATTTTAAATATCACTAGAGTTAAATGTAAGGTGCAGGATCGATTATAAATGCTGTATAACGTTACCTAACTATAGCAGGTGAGCTAACAGGATTTGGTTATTGGCAATGCCGCCGTATACATGTATATGCTCAAAGACAAATCAGCATTTGGTTATTGCTGGGTAGGAACCAGAACCACTCGCTACATCTTGGCAGAGAACAGCAAATAAAACTTTTTTTTTTTTCAATGTGGTTCTCACTCGACTGATGAGCCCAGGATGAGTGAAGATTTAGGAAAGTCTTCCACCCATTTTTTAAAAGATGCTACAATCAATGCATTGTGCAAGGCTCTGGAAAGATGTGGTGTTTGAAAATCCCAAATGAAACCAGGACAGGGTTGTGAAACGAGGAGAAAGAAGAGTGATGACGACACGTCCTACTGGACACTGAGGTTATCTATTGTATTCAAGAGAGTAAAAAATAACTCTTTATTATTGTGGTGTGTGTATGTGTGTTTTTATGAGGCCTCTGTGTAGCCTTCAATCTGTTTTTCCCCTTTGTGTCAAGGAGCTGCATTCTCCTGCTGCACGAGTCGTCTTAAAAGTTTAGAGAAAAAATAACGGTAAAACAAAGGTAACAAAGTGCTTTCAATGCAAGAGAGATTTGTTAGTTGTTGGAGTTCATCCTACCGGCAGAGAACAGGGGAGGCGGTGGGCGTAAATGAGGGACGGGAGGAAGCCCACCTATGGGGTGCAGCAGGGGGAGGGACAGTTGGGTGCCGTGGAAGGGGTGGGGGCTAGAGGCAGCAGGGGGCGTGGTCACAGACGTGGCGGGAAGCACCGTCCCCAGCTGGACCTGACCGGACGAGTCCACAGCAGGCGACCCCAGGGGCTGGTCGAGCCCGAGGGGGTCACTTCCGTCGGCAACCATGGGGTTGCTGACGCGGAAGCATTTCTCCCTGTGGGCCTTGAGCATGTTGGAGAAACGGAAGCGCTGGCCGCACACCTCGCAGGGGTACGGTTTCTCTCCGGTGTGAGTGCGGCGGTGACGCTTCATGTTGGGCCGGCTGGTGAAGCTCTTCCCACAGATCTCACAGATGTACGGCTTCTCTCCTGCAGAATGTGAGACAAGCAGATGAATTGAATTTAAGGGGCTGTTGTGACTGTGTTTGTGTCTTTCAGCTCTTTGTTTCTGTTTTACCATCTGCAGTTTTACAGTTTTGATTTTGTCTCACCGCTGGATATGTAAATAAGCAGCTGTAGCACACAAGTTCGACATTTCAGCTTTATGAGGTGATAATATGTCAGCTTTGTGTTTACAGCTTGTTTCCACCAACTTCAAGAGTCAGTTAATGTTGTTCTGTGATTTAGCATCAACAGTAACTCACCAGTGTGTGTCTTCATGTGCTCATCAAAGTACTGTTTCATGTTGAAGTCCTTTCCGCACCACTGACACATGAACTGCTTGTGTCCGATGTGGATGCTCATGTGGGAGCGCAGCTGGTACTTGTACTGGAAGCGTTCGCTACAGTTCTGAAACGGCACAAAGTAAAGAGTTTGCTAAAGTTTATAGTCAAAATATTAAATTTGCAAAATTTAATTGATGTACAAATGCTAAGGAACTATCAGGTGTCATTCAGACATTCAAATTTAATTTGAGTCTCAGGTTTGAGAAAGTCTTTCTGTAACACAAACTGAGACAAACTTCAGCCTTGAGATAAAATGTAGCTCACAGCTACAAATTTTTGAACCTGTGCCATGGCGATTACACATGTTGAGTTATATCCTACTAATAAATCCAGAAATATCTGTCCTTCGATTTTTCTCTTCAAACTTTGAGGATGTGTTGCAGAGGACCAGAGGAAGTGCAGTGTCGACTCTGGTCTTTTTGGATAAACACCCTTGTGACACTGATCTTCCATTTATCTGATACTGCACTTGCTGCGGCTGTCATCACACCGATATCATAGAATGACGGTCATAGACGGCTGCATCTAACTGCTCCAAGATCATTGAAATGCCTTGCTCACCTGTTACACTCAATCTGAATGACTTAAACATTTGGGGCCTAACTTTAATTAAACCTCTTGCACTATAATGGGGGCTTACAGCAGTGAAAAGGAATAGGACGCTACGTGCTGGAAGCCTCCAAATGTTCATACTTGATTTCTGACGTATTTTGAACAGGCAAAAAAGTGTGCGTGAATTTTCCAATTTCATGAGCAGAAAACACATGGTCACACCACACAAGAATTTCAAAGTCTTTGATTCAAAGGAGTGGATCGACATTTTTAGAAAGAAAAACACCTCAGAGTTGGATGAAAAGATTAATACCACTCTCGGGTCTTTATGGTGAATATGAAAATATAGCCAGCAGCCTTTTGGCACCTTGCTAATTGGACAGAGCAAGGGTATTGGTTTTTCTATGTTTCCAGCCTTTATGCTATGCTACGCTAAGAACACAATGTCTAACTATTCTTTTAAGAAGTTAGGTCATTCTACCAATTGTTTTCATGTGGTGTGGAGTGAAGATGCCAGAAACAAGCACTAAAAGACCAATCGGTATCCCCAGTTAAACTGCCTAATGAGGCTGCCTATCTGTAAAGAGAGCAAATACCATTTGTTAATGATCATATTCTTCTTTCATCTGTGTGAATCAGCACATCTGGATCCCTTCCCCGTCCCAAAACCCTTAACCTGAACACAAGGGTTTTACAAGCGAAGGCCACAGAGACTCATGAAATGCAAATAACATCCCAGACACCAATAATTTTACAAATTACAGGTTTTTAAGATCGTGGCGGGTGAATCAGTTTGGATGAAAACTCTTGGTGTGAGTGAAGTGGAGAGCGGTGCAGCGTATAGGAGGAGCTCAAACCTCACACTTGAAGGGTTTCTCTCCTGAGTGCTGCAGAGAGTGAACCTTCAGGGACATGCTGCGCTTGAACGACTTCCCGCACGTCTCGCACGTGAACGGCATGTCCTTTGTATGGGCTACACACACACACACACACACACATGCACACACACACGCACACACACACACACACACAGAGAGACAAACACACACGGTACAAAATCATTGATTGGTATCTAATATAGAGCTACTTAACATCAAATAGAAGCAGAAAGACAAATATGAAAATGCTTCCCTAAATTAGCTCTTTAAAAAAACAAGTAAATACATGTAAATACATTATTTATGCTGCTGTTTCCAAATTGATCTCTCATCAGTTCTTTTGTAGGAATAACAAATAGGACTCAGTGACATACAGTACTTTATACTAACCCTTTTTTAGCTGGAGAAATATGGATGTACACAAATATTGAGGTAAACTCGCCTGGGAAAATAAGATGCTTATCTCCCCAAAAATGTAGGAGAGGAAAGCAACACCCAAAAACAAAGCTTGCACAACAATCAGAAGGATTTGGCAAAGGAAACCTCAAGTAACATGTGAGAACAAAGTGGCCGAGCAGGATCAGCGATTTTACTGCCTCTTACCGACCATGTGCTTCCTGACATGAGCCATGGTGTAAAACTTCTTCTCACAGATCTCGCAGGAGAACTTCTTTTCGGCGTAACCATGGACGATCTTGTTGTGCTCGTGTAATGACCACAGCTTCTTGAAGGCCTTGCCACATGTTGCACACTTTAAAAAGAGAGAGGGCAAAACATTGTTAGTGTACGTGATATGAAGAGAGTCATCTGGAACAGTCAAATACAATCCAGGTGTGTATGTGTGTGTGTGTGTGTGTGTGTGTGTGTGTGTGTGTGTGTGTGTGTGTGTGTGCTTTCCACAGATACTTGAGCGTGCACTGTACCAAAAAAAGCTATTAGAGTCAGTAGATTAAAGCAGAAAATGATCTTCAAAACCACAGCAGGAGTCCAGCTGCTCACTGCAGAGGAGTAATGGTGGAAGAACTGAGACAGAACCAGAATTTATTATTACTAACTGATCAGTTTTGATATGTTTACTTTATTCCATATAGTAATGAGTAACTAAATCACATATTAAAAGTGACAAACTTTTTTAACAATGAGCATAGCAGTGAGGGCGGCATAATGAAGACGGGAGTCTTTCACAGTTAGACTATTAAAGGCTTATTGATTTATTTATTTATGCTCAACGTTAGAAAGGTGTATGGAAACAGATGGAGCCCTCCATCGGTATACTCTGCGTTTATTTCCTTCATATTTGTGCTCGTCTTCTGAAAGCTTGAGGATAAGGATGAAACAGACGAAACAGAGCAGCACCACTGGAAATTGTTGCTTTACAACATGCAAACGTAAAGGAAGCATGGCATCCATAAAGGAAAGGCAGCATGAATGAGCCCTAAATGGTATCATGGTAAAGCTGTGATATTAATGCAGCAACCCACAAAAATCATGTTTGGTTTCTTGAATTTGCATTAATTAAATATAAATTCCAGTATCAAAACAGTGCCTTAACTTGGGCCAAGAAATCAAAATATCAATTTGATGCTTTCTTTCCAAAACATGCAAATGTTCCAGCTCGGAGCAGTGACAGCAGAGCTCACTCTCTATAGCAGCATTCAGACCCAACTAGCTCCACCAATCAGCAGGGCAGGGCAGCCTGTGTGACGCCTGAGGGGCAAAACTAAGGGCAGAAAATAGTAAGAAACTAAAATCGTAAAAAGTGCAGTCCCGCCAGAAAAACTCACAGGAAAACTCATCTGCAAGAAATATTTGGTGACAGTGACAACAGCTCCCGAGCTTCGGGACCGCTGACAATTTGGACTGAACATAATTTCAGTCAATACAGAGTTTTATTAATGAGGGGGGAAAGCGCTCTGAGCCAATTTTGCAATATACACAGTTTTTTCATGAAGAAGCATCTGTATAATTGACTTCCTCGTAATTGTCTGCAAATGATGTCTCTTTTGTAGAGGAGTTCATTCGCAGACAGATGGATTCGTAGAGATGGTCCAACACAGCTAATTAGCTACATTAGCATCTCTCTGGCTTTACACTATTGAAATGGCTTAATATTGGTGAGTTGTGCTTGTTTACATCAACAAGCAATCCAGTCAACGTATTGAGGGGATTAAGTTGCAGTAATTTTGCTGCTATATTTGAGTTAAAGCAGCACTATGTAACCTTTACTGAGCAACAGCGCCCTCTGCAGCCACAGATGGTGTTTAATATCAATCTGGTGAATACTTAGTCCCACTCACTGAATTAAAACACACCTGAACAGTGGATATTGCCCATGAGCCCCTGCTTCCTGAACCACACTAAGTTTTCTTGCTGAATACTGGAGATAAACGTTGGTTTTCAATGGTTTCCATGTGTTTTTAACTGATCTACAGTTCAGCATTACTCTTCAACCTGCAGGACCTGATTCTGTGGGAAAGAAAGTGGTGGTGTTGCTTTAATGCTGCAGTGAAACTAAAACAAGGGGGTTGAGTGTTTCATCATCGTACCTGGATGCTCTTCTCGCAGTCGGTCTGTTGGTGCAGCAGCAGCTCGCTCTCCAACAGGAAGCGTTTCCCGCAGTTATTGCAGATCTGCATGCGGTTGTGAGTGACGTTCATGTGCTTCTCCAGATACCAGCGGTTGTTGAAGATGCGGGGGCATTTCTTACACGGGAAATGCTGCTTCTCCTCCAGCCTCACTTTCTGGCCCAGGCCCTCTGTATCCAGACTCCTCTTCCCACCCGGCCGCTGGTTGGCTAGTGTAGCCTCTGCCAGCGTGTGCCGCATGGAGGCCGTGGTTCCCGCCATGGCCAAGGCTCTGATACCCCGTCGAGGTCGATCCATTATGGACGTCTGCTCCAAGCCTGGAATGTTAAGGGTGTTCTCCTCCTCCTCTTCATCCTCCTCTTCATCTTCCTCCTCGCTGCTCTGTCCCAGTAGGTCTCCCCTCTTCAGGTCTTCCTCATCTTCCTCAACTGTGTCATTGTTCTCCAGCTCGTTCTCATCATCATCTTCTGAATCTCTCTCATTGTCATGGCAACGAGTAAACATGGTGGCCGTCTCAGTGGCGGATGCTGATTTTCCCTCCGATCCCTTTGACACATTGAGGGTCTGGTTGTTGAGGTTCACTTCAACAATGATCTGATCTCTGTTGAAGGAGTGGCTGTCTGAGGACTTCGACTCCTCACCGTTGCCTTCTACTTTGCACAGAGTACCTGAGCCGGCCCCGCCCCCTGTCCCCTCCTCTTTCTGGTAGTAGTGCTTCTGCTGGGAGGGCGTCTTTCCCGCCTCCTCCACCCGCACAGAAAACGGGCTGCTGCCCTCCCTCGTGTACACCCTGCCCAGCTCTGACTCCTGTTTGATCTCCCGGTACAGCTGGCTGGCAGTAATCGCCACCGCTGGTTCACCGCTGCCAAGCCCTTCCTGATTTGCCATATCTGTGCAGGTGGTTCTCAGCGAGTGGCTGCTGATGAGGTCACGACAGGAGGCAGCGATGTCGCTCATCTGAAGCAGGGTGGCTGCGTTCAGCACGTCGCGGACAGTGCGGCTGCTCACCAGCAGTTTGGAGGTGTAAATGAAGTTGAGTATTTGCTGCAGGCCCTGCGAGGTCAGGGCGTCCAGCGACAGGTCCACCCGTCGCAGCTGCTTGCTTTGGGCGAACAGGGAGTGGAAGAAAGGGCTGTAGGCCGCCAGCACGCCCTTGTGGGCCGGAAAGGTGCTGCGCTGACGTACCAGAACGATGTCGACGTCGCACAGGTCAGGCTGGAAGAGGCGCTGCTCGTTCAGCCTGTCCATCAAACAGGTGAAGTGCAGAGCTACATCCTCCACCAGAGAGAACTCAGCAGAGGGGAAGTCAGTGGTCTTCTCCACTATGAGCTGAAAGAGAAAAACATGGAGGGAGAGGGACAGAGTTAAATATAAACAACTTCACTATCACCGAAATATTACAGAAATGTACATTTTGGATTTGAAGCTATTCATATCTCTTCCAACTTGCAACAGAATTGCAGACTTAAGTCAACATGTATGAAAAGAAAAAAGGCAGTCAGGACATGGTCACACTCAGGAACTCCACACTAAGCCCAACTGCAGATTTGCTCCGCTGCAGGAAGCCATTGAATTTTTCACCCTCCACTTGAACGGATTGGACGTGAACGGAAGGTGAAGGTTCAGCACTGCTTTATTCGCATATGTGTGACAATACGATGACGAGCCACAGCTCTACTGGATCTTCTAAAGTTTAATTATTTCACCAAACTTTAAATCCAACTCAGTGTGTAACATTTTAGAACCCCAGAATAATCAAGGTACAAACAATGTTTGAAGAAAGTGGTAGACATATTTTTATTGCATTATCTTTTATGTTTTTGTGCGTTTTCTTGTTGGACTGTGTGCATTTACATAAGAGCCTCTCATGGGAGGTTTGCTGTAAATCATCTGAGTTTAGAAATGCTGTGGTATTCACAAATTGTTTATTACTTTAAAAATAAAAAATTAAATACCCACACGCTTTATTTGTTTGTCTTTAGTCCTCAAAATGAAAAGTAATTCACTTAATTTAATTCAGTCACATAACATTGTCAAAATTCTGCAATAATGAAATTTGTCGTTAGAATCGAGACAGAACCACTGTTGAAATTAATTCTAAATAATTAGATCCTGCAGCATGTATTGCTTTTTGTGCTCATTGTCAGTTTCAGTGTGTTTCAGCGTGCGTGTGCTGCAGAATACGAGTCAAAAATCAAAAGGTGTAACACTCAGCGCTTTGTGCAAGGTCCTAAACTTCCCAAGGTGGGTTTATTTTAGCACAGGAAGGGCAGGGTTTCGATCCAGACGGGATGTGAGCAGGGACAGAGCAGCTAACAGAGCAAACACACACACACACACACACACGCACAACAAACACAAACACAGTGTCTGGTCTCTGCAGGGACTGACTGGTCACAGCATTGATATTCATTGCCATCTCCCTCCCATTAGCTGGCTCTCTCAGCACACCCACCCGCTGCACTGTCCCCGAGGAGCG